AATCAGTTGTAATCTATTCTATTTGTGTGTTTAAAAATATTCTATTTGTGTGTTTAAAAATTATATATATATATATATATTTTTTTAAACACACAAATAGAATAGATTACAACTGATTAACGTAACTGCAAGCAGCAATAGGGAAGAATACTGTTTTTCCAAATTGGAAGAAGGGGATAAAATTTATTCAAATAAACCCAGGTTGAGATAAAGGAGAGATTATGTACCAGTAATTAATTCATGTCTAGGAAACTACCAAGATACACAAAAAAGATTAATAGATGCATAGATTCTAGGACTGGAAGGGACCTCGAGAGGTCATCGAGTCCAGTCCCCTGCCCTCATGGCAGGACCAAATACTGTCTAGACCATCTCTGATAGACATTTATCTAACCTACTCTTAAATATCTCCAGAGATATTTTGAATGTTTTCAGAAATGGGTTTGGATAAACAAGGGCTCTATTGCAGACCATTTTTATTTTAAAAAGGTCCATTTTCCATACAATTAAGGAAAAGTAAAATTGAAAACACCAAGTACATTTGAAAACACAAACTAAAGGATAAAGTATGACGACTAAATTAAAATGCAGGCTTCTAGTTCAGTTGAGGTTAGTAACTTGCTGGGTCCAGTCCAGCAGGTGCTCAAGGAGGTCACCAAGTGGTAACTATTGGGCAACTTAGACTGAAGACCCTGAGTTTGTAATTCAATTATTTCTTTCTGCCACTAGACGCTGCTATTTCTTTCTCTCTGTAGCCTCACTGCTTCTTCTACTAAGGTTGCCTGGAGGTTTTTCCAGCCCAGTAGCGCTGAGCTCATCTAGAGAATTGTCTTTGAGAAAAATTTCTAAAGTTGACAACTGAACACATTTAGGCACAGGAGATATCCTGCAGGAGCAGGCCTAGTCATGCAGAGTGAGATATTCAGCGAAACAGCTTAGGGGCTGGGAACCTCAGGTTTTGGGAAAAGGCTTTTGGCAATATTCATTGCAGGGCCATTAGGGTCCAATTAGACAATCACATGGGCTAGCTGCCAGGTACCAGCGTTAACTGGTATTAGCTTGATAAAAGTTGAGCCCAGTTGCCTTTTAACCACACACACGACTTTTACAGTTTCTAGATTGTTGCATCAGGAGGACAAAGGATTTCAGCATTCCTTATTTAAAATTTGCCCATTGTAAACATTAAAGGGTGTTTTTAAACCAGCTGATCTAAGCCAAACTATGGAACGATGGGAATCTTAAAAATGGTACCAGTGACTAAAATTAATATTACTATATGATTAACTCCTTAACACCAATGCAATAAAAGTGTCTTCTGAAAGCAAAGCAAATATTTTTAACCAAAAAGGAACAAAAAATTATTAGCAGACTGTGTCAGAACGTACCCGTGTCCACACCCTACACATTATTGTAATAATCTTTGTGCAACATGTGCCTTGTGAGGTATTATCTGAAAACTCATAATTTGCTGGTCATTACTGTTCTGAGAAAATGTGTGTGGCAACATTGTATGTGAAGTTATACGATTCCACTGTATGTTGTTCTTCACACATGTTCCAAACTGAGGTTGGCAAACAAGTCTGGCTCAAACATAGAAATATGTGCTACTTAATTTGCATTTAAGCAGTAAACAGAGCCATCAAGCAGGAAGAGAAACAAAAGAAGCTCCAACACATTAGGAAAAAGCAGCAGGGAACATCCTTCCCTATAGACTGTCTCCTGAACCTCAGTTAGAAATGTTTTTCAGGAGAGGGGCTAACACTATAAAAAGGAAGTACAAACATCCCTCCTCTCCCTCTCCTTCGATTCACTGCACCAGAAGGGACAAAGGAAGCAGCCACTGAACTGTAAAAGGGGTCCTAACCTAAGAAGTTTGGTCAATAAGACTGCTTAGTGCATGTGATGAGAAAACTCTGATTTGAATTTAACATAGCTTGTTAAGTTAGGCACCAGTTGCATTTCATCTTTATTTTCCCTGTAACCATTTCTGACTTTTATGCCTCATTACTTGTATTCAATTAAAATCTCTTTGTAGTTTATAAACTTGTTTCATGGTTTATCTAATCCAGTGTGTTTACATTGAAGTGTCTGTGAAACTCCATTTGGGGGTAACATGGTGCATGCATACTATTTCTATTAAAGCAATAACAGATCTTATATAAACCTGTATTGTCCAAGAGAGGGCTGGGAAGTACAGGATACACATTTCTAGGAGGAAATCTAAGACTGTGGATGTGTTGGGTCATCCTGCAGTATAATCAAGGCTGGTAAGACCGAAGGTGTGGCTGGCTGCAGCACATACACAGACATAGCTGGGAGTGACTTGCATGCTGGAAGCTTTTTGTGAGCAGACTGCAGGCTATAGCAGCAAAGCATTTTAAAGGGCACCCGAGGTTCGAGGGCAGAGGTGAAGTGGCTACTCAGTCTGGATTGTACCCTGGTATGTCATACAGATTATGCCCAAAAGACCGCAACCTATGAAATGGTTTACTGATGAGAAAAGATGAGTAACTTTGTTAATACAACCAATGACTTTAACTACCAATATAGTCTCAGTGTGATCCTGTTTGATTGTTCAAGACTCAACCACGTTTTCCATTACATAGAAAATGAATTTCTAGTAGGTACATAGTTAAACAGCTATGAAACCTGTCCAATTCAAAAATGTAATTTTGTTTAGTGATTTCAAATAGCTAATTTTCTTCACCTTTATTAATATAATTTATATGCATATTAACAAATATCTATGTCGCTATAATGCAAATTAGTTCTCAGCTTTTATTTGACATGATAGAATATGAATTACTTGCAGGAAATAATAGTTTTTGTTTCTTTGTATAGACAAAGCAGAGTGCTTTCCAGAACTGTGATGGGCCCCAATTTAGGAAAACATCCCTGTTGAAGAAAATACTAAAGCACATGCTTAAGTGCTCTCCTGAACAGGGATAGATTTTAGAACATGCTTAAGTGTTTTCCTGAATCAGGCCTACAATCAATTTTTAATAAAAGAGACACAATTATCTATAAAAAGAACAGGAGTACTTGTGGCACCTTAGAGACTAACAAATTTATTAGAGCATAAGCTTTCGTGGGCTACTGCCCACTTCACGAAAGCTTATGCTCTAATAAATTTGTTAGTCTGTAAGGTGCCACAAGTACTCCTGTTCTTTTTGCGGATACACACTAACACGGCTGCTACTCTGAAACCAACAATTATCTGTGGTTCTCTAGTCAGCCAAACAGAATAGATTTATTAGTTGACTAAAAGTTAGCATTTAATATTGACCATTAATTCTTTCAATGTAAGTAGTTCAGTAAAATCATGTCAGTACAGTAGATGGAGGATTTGAACCTTAATATAAAGTTAGTAAGTGTGTTGCATTTTTTTTTAATTATTCACTCTATATTATCAAGACAGCAACTAAAAGGAAATTTTAAAATTTTGTGTTAACAATTCATCTTTATCAGCACAAAATGCAATTATTACTACAGCAGATGTAAACAGAAAAAAGGTAAATATATATATCTGCATAATATATTATATACACACTGTGACAGACCCAGACCAGTGGGGTACAGGAGTCTGGTAGAGGGCAAATATACTGGTCACTGGATGAGTAGTTTTCTGTTCCTTGAGTGACCAGAGAAGGGGCTGCACTAGAGTAATCAGGAACCTGCTAGAACCAGTTAAGGCAGGCAGGCTAATTAGGACACCTGGAGCCAATTAAGAAGAAGCTGCTAGAATCAATTAAGGCAGGCTAATCAGGGCACCTGGGTTTTAAAAGGAGCTCACTTCAGTTTGTGGTGTGAGTGTGAGGTGCTGGGAGCAAGAGGCGTAAGGAGCTGAGAGGGAGAGGGTGTGCTGCTGGAGGACTGAGGAGCACAAGCGTTATCAGACACCAGGAGGAAGGTCCTGTGGTGAGAATAAGGAAGGTGTTTGGAGGAGGCCATGGGGAAGTAGCCCAGGGAGCTGTAACTGTCATGCAGCTGTTACAGGAGGCACTATAGACAGTTGCAGTCCACAGGGCCCTGGGCTGGAACCCGGTGTAGAGGGCAGGCCAGAGTTCCCCCCAAACCTCTCAATTGACCTGGACTATGGGTTCTTCCAGAGGGGAAGGTCTCTGGGCTATTCCCCAACCCACATGGTGAATCTCTGAAGCAAGAAAATCCGCCAATAAGCACAGGACCCACCAAGATAGAGGAGGAACTTTGTCACAACACCTTTGTCATATCTGCCATTAAGATGAAACGTGACAATTGAAACAACATCCTCAACAAAGAAAACAGTGATACTACTGAATAGTAACCAACAAAATTTAAATATCAAGAAGCCTACCACTTTAAAAGACTAATTAAGTCTACAATTAACTCTATGCTAGTGCTAGCCAGGGATCTCATTTTCTGTGATAAAAATCCCCAAATTCTCCAATAAAAACCCATACAAATCCATGTTGTTCTGCGATTAAAATGAAACTCTGAACTTTTAGCTTCCCTAGCCACAATAGGGAGTCCCACTGCTGGGGCTGGCTGCCCAAACCCCACCACCCAGGGCTGACAGCCCCGGTTTGCTTAATACAGTGAGCTGTACAACAGAGGCTCCGATAAACACGGTTCTACTATATGTTTTTGTTTTTTCACAAAATGTAAAAATTCAAAGATTCTCTGTAAAAACACAAATTCCATGTTTTTCCAAAACATACAGATTTCTAGGATCCCTGATGATAACACACTTGCCATGGAATTCCACTGCAGATGCGAGTTTGCCTACAGAGGACCAAGTGAGCCTAGATTTTCCTCAACAATTAAACCATTTCTATACAGCTTTTAAAAATTATTTTATATCCCATCAAGCGTAAAACATTAAGGTTTTCATTAAACTATGTGTATTTTGAGAAAATGTAAGTTTGCCTGACTCCATAATCCAGCCCAAGACTGACATAGGGTTCTAATGATTGACATGACATCACTAGCACAACATAGATTGCTGATGATGCTGAGGGTAGGATCTGGAGAGGGAAGTGATGACAAGTCTGGAATTCAGACATGCAAAATAACAACAGAAAGGTAAATTTGAAGCTAATTCTGTACTGATCTTAAACTGGTTTAGAGATTTCAGCACAATTCTTGCATGCAGGTTTTGATGTTTTGTTTTTTGTTTGTTTGTTTTTAAAAAAGAACCTTTGCAAGTCACTTCTAAAAAGCTAAACAAACAGCTACCAAGATTCTTATGCATTGAGAAATGCTCTACAGTACCTTTATAATCATAAATGTACACAAGTATTGGCTGATTTTGACCAAAGGCACAAAATGACACCATGTGTTCATGTGGATGAAAGGCGACATCTCGAACTGGAAATGTGAAGGAGAGGTCAGAATACATGGCTACTTGGTCACCTATAAAAGGAAAAATAGAGTTCTTAATTTGTACTGTCATAAAAATTTGACATGATAATGTTGCAACTTTTTATAATATCCACTCATGTCTCTATACTATATTTATGTTACCAAAATCTTAGAGAAGAGGACTTCAACCTTTGTATTTTAAACTAGTTTATAACTTGGAAAGCACTATCCACTTAAAAAATATTAAATGGCACATAACCATAATATGTGTTTGTATCTTTCTGGGAAAATGCTTGTTATGTTAGTCATGGGCTTCAGTCATACTGACCAATGGGAATGGAAGTTTTGCACACCACTATTTCATAGAAGTTTTGGCCCAGATCCTGAACTCCATGGAACAACTTATGTCTATAAAGTTAAACACATGCATAAATCTTTTTAGGCTCAGGGCTTTTATTTACAAATTCTCTCTCGTCCTACATTCCACCTATTTTTGATAGGTACTGGGAAAGTCGTGCAATGATGTGTAGGTAGTTTTGAACCCTGGTTGATGAAGATGCCTTCAAAGCAAATCTTCAGAACAGACCTGCTTGCCTAAATGCCAGTTTTTAAATGTTTTAAATATCTAGGTTGTAACCTGATATAAAAGAAGAAAGCAGAAAGTCAACAAAACCAAACTTTTGTTACTAACCACTACATTTAATTTCCTCTCTGCTACACACAGTACAATATGGTTAATTTAGACAAGAAATTCTCTAGCTCTTATTTGTGCTTTGCTTGCGCTTTGTCCAGCAGAGTTCTTTTGTATATTAGTAGTTATGTGGGAATTATCCAGTTTTGAGGGCAATTTATGATGAAGCCTAGTACTCCTACATCCAGGTGTCTATATATACTGATCATTCACTTATTAAAGGTCTTCAATCAATCAATTGTGCAAGTAAAATAAACAGCTCTTAATAACAGCCTGATCCGAAGCCCACTGATGTTAACAGAAAGACACTCATTGACTTCAATGGGCTTTGGAACAGGGTCTTAATCTGAATACACAAATACTTTCGTATCATATATGGAAAGGACAACTGAACAAAAGACCAAATTAGAAGTGTTTAATTACTACTAGAAACCTGAGATACTACCTGTGATTGAGATTTATTCCCGTATGAATATAATTTTTAATTCAGAGCATATAACTAATAACACTGATATAGAAGGTGGACCTTACATTTATAGACGTAAGGACATCAGCCTAAATTTTTATTTTGCACCAAAGTTATTACATGAAAAAGGGGTTTTTGTTCGGTTTTTTTTGTTTGTTTTTTAAAGAAGGCTCTTCTAGAGAGCTTGACAACCTGGCCTAATATTGTAAAATAATTGATTGGTTACCTGTTTCTGGATTCCAAACATATGCTATCCCATCTTCACTTCCAGAAAAAAGAAATGTCCCACACGGTGTTAAGGTACTGTGAATCTTCTCTCTATAGTTTGTGGCACCTATGTATTTCTTTGTAGCCAAGCTAAAAATAAAAAAATAGTCTGAGTTTGGCAATTACTTTCATAACAGACAAAATCTCCCATACCTCACATATGAATTTTCTGCTGAATAAATAATACTAGCTCAATATCTTGTATTCAAAGTAGGCATCAGTGCACTGCGCACTTATTCACTGCATGTCCCATGTTCTCCCTCAAACCCTTCCCTTTCCTGGCTTTCATAATGGCACTTTTATCTCTGATAGTACAGAGAAATACTTTAAGTCCATACCTTTGGAAATGGCAAAGGAATACCCAGGTCTGCACAGTGGGTACAAAAGCTGTCTTTGCATTTCCTTAATTCTGGGCTGATTATTTGCTGGGCCAAGGGGGTTGGACTGGAAAAAAAAGTGGTGGTACTTTTCCCACCTCTGCCAACAAAATAAGCTCTACCCATGTAAATTGCCAAAATGAGGTGCCCTTTACAGTAGGATGTGTAGATATTCAAAATATGATTGTGCAGCTCTCAGAGCTCAGCTCCTCCTCCCCTCTGTGAGGCTTAAATATGCCCAGGGGATTTGCTGGATTCCTTGGACTTGGCTCCTTCTTGACTGGGGGAAGGTGGTGGTACTCTGAAACATCACCCATGTATGAAACCAAAATTAGATTTTTTTAAAAAATGGTATCACCATAGCACCTAGCAGTCCTAGTCATGGGCCAGGACCCCATTGTGCTAGGGGCTGTACGAACAAAGACCCAAAAGCCGGTCCCTACCCCCAAGGAGATTACAATAGAAGGCCATGCCTACAAAACAAACTAGTCGATTCAAGTTATATTGGCATACAGTCACCAGAGTTTGTATATTGCTTCAGCATGTGCATACTTGGCTACTTGCTTTGGCACTGCACATACTGAGCACGAGTGCCTGTGTTGATGCAAAGTATGATCTATTTCAGGTAGGTATCACAGTGCGCTACATACTGTGGTTTGGTTCAACGCCTTTTGGGAAATTTTCGCAATGTGTTATGGGGTAGAAATTACTCACGCAGGGATCTCTGGGAGCTAGCGGTCAAATTCCCAGCATGTAACTTACTCCATTCCATAATGCCATCCGTATTCCATAATTTTCACACTTTAAAAAAAAAATCCCACAAGTCCAGGTGGCACTTTTCAGTGTCTGCCACCTCTGACTGAAGCACAGAGCCACAGAGCTCTACACTATTCCCATGAATGTTGCAAATACAGAACATGTGATCCTCTGGTATTTGCAGACCCACAGAAAATACCACAATAATGGGGGACATGACAGTTTCTTTTAGGTCAGATTGCTGTGGGACATAGTAAGAACCAATTCAAGGTTGTTGATGGCATTCATGGAGCAGCAGCTGACAGTGGAGCACCGTTTCTGGCCCCAAGAAATGAGCACTGATTGGTGGGACTGCAACATAGGCAGGTTTGGGACGACGAGTAGTAGTTGCAGAGCTTCAGAATGCGGAAGACCACATTCCTGGATCCGTGTGCCAATCTTGCCTCAGCTTTCCAGTGCATGGAAACCAGAATGAGAGCATTGACAGCTGAAAAGCAAGTGGTGATCACATTCTAGAAGACTGCAAGACCAAATGGCGACCAGTCAATGGGAAATCATTTTGGAGTTGGACAATCCACGGTGGAAGTCATCATGCAATGGTGCCGGGAAAAGCGGCCATGGAGTTCTCCAAGGATTGAAACAGGCGGAGAGTCTGGGATTTTTGGACCTGGGGGATCAACTGGTATCTGCAGTATTTAGGTGTCATGCCTGAGAAGACTCATTATGTCCTGATGCATTTCTCTCTTCTTATCCTGAGGGGCTTCTCTTCTGTTCTCTCTTTCCCTTTCCATGCTGTCAGTCATCCTGGCCCTGCCAATCCTTTGTTCACGGTCCAATGCAGCACTGGCTTGTAGAATTTTGCTGAACCATGTCTTCCCTAATCCTCTTCTTTCTCTATTTCATCAGAGTCAGGCATTCTATGGGTGTGGAGGGGGCATCCCTCAAGGCTGCCACGCCTGAAGCTGCTGATAACAGACAGATGTACCATTGGATTTACAGTCACAACGGAAAGAGAAAGTTAAGCTTAAAATTTCCTTCCCTTACCCGCATAAACACTTTTAATAAGAAATGCTTATTGACACTTCAGCTATGGAGCGCCTCAGGATAGCACTGCGCTCCCCCCAGCCATGGTCAGTATGGCCCACTGAGATGAGTGAAGAGAAGAATTTTCTGCTGCATGAAACAATAAAATTTCAGTTCCCTATTCTTCCATGGGTACGGGTATAGTGAAATGGCACTATTTTCCATAGGTGGTGGTGGTTTTAGCTGATATCTCACTTGGGAAGGTAATTAAGGCACAGATAACACAGCTGCTACTGGCATCCCAAAGTCACACAGGCCTGTATGCTGCTTGCCTGTTTCTTGCTACGGTGCCAGCCAAACTCATTGAGGAATGGCATGGGAAAATGTCCTATTTCAGAGGAAGAAATAAGACAGCCATTCCTAATCTTCAGAAGAGTATTGCAGAGTATCTCCATGAAAGTTTCATCAAGATCTCTCAGGAGGATAAAAGGAACATCCCTCTATAAATAAATGAAGTGCTCTACACAGCCCATCCACCTACCTAACCCAATAGGAGAATAAAAAGCACATGAGAACTCTGCCTCTGTTTGCTGTTCCTTGATCTTTTCTCGTATGAGTGAAACAGTGAAGGGTTGATACCTGTGTCTTATTAACACAGGGATGGGCCAGGTGCCCTCTTTAAATTTAAAGATTGTAAGGAAAAATGCATACACATTTACCCAACGCCCCTTCCCCTTCATCAAACTCATCCATGCTTCTCAGGCAGGATTGGCCAGACTGGCAGAGTTTTGAACAGGTTCCGGCTTGTAGCATGGCTGCAGCCCTCTGCCGCATCTCCCTCTTCTCGCTGTTCACGGCAGGGTTCTCTGTCTCAGGGTCCTCCAAGCTATCCACAGTGATCTGCAGGCTGCTGGTGGGGTCTCTGCCAAGAATGGCATGAAGCTCATTGTCTCACCGGGTCTGTGGTGCGTCACCAGATCTATTGTTGGCTTCCCTGGCCTTGTGGTATCCTCGGCAAAGTTCCTTGGTTTTCCCACGGCACTGTTGATCCCTGTCATAACCCTTTGCTTGCATGCCCCATATAATCTGTTTGTAGAACTTCACTTTTCTATGTCTGGTCCGTAGCTGTGTCTCCACAGTCTCTTCTTCCCACAGGCCTAAGAGATACAATGCTTCCGTGTCTACTCCAGGCAGAAGCATGTCTAGTGTGTGGAGCCAGCATAGTCCACTGGGCAGTTGCACACAACAGGGATGAGCTACTAGGTGTGTTCACCAAGGTGGACAATCAGGAAAAGGCATTTTTAAACACACACGTGAGTTTTAAAGGGGTGGGGTGGCTTCCAGTCTCTGTGTCTCCCCAGAGCAGTGGAGTTCACAATAGTAACCAGATCAGTCACTGTTGCAGAGATGGGAGCATTGTGGAATAGCTGCTGGAGGACTGTTAGGGTCGACACAGGTCACACAGTGTCTACACTTGCACTGTGTTGGCCTCAGTAGGTCAACCAGGGCTCCATGCCATTCAGCAAAATGGTTTTACTGCGTTGCTCTAACAGTGTGCTTATGTTGGCTAGAGACAAACTTAAGTGTAGACCAGAGGTGGGCAAACTATGGCCCACGGGCCAGACCGTCCTGCCCAGCCCTTGAGCTCCCAGCCGGGGAAGCTAGTCCCCGGCCCCACCCCGGCTGTCCCCCTCCCCCGCAGCCACGCCGCACGGGCAGCCCTCTGGGCAGCGGGGCTGCGCGCTCCTGCAGGGCAGCACAGCAGCGTGTCTGGCTCCGTCCAGGTGGCGCAGCGGCCAGACTTGCTGCTCTGAGCGCCACGGTAAGGGGGTCGGGGGTTGGATAAGGGGCAGGGGATCCCGGGGATGGGGAGCAGGGGGTGGTTGGATGGGGCGGAGATTCGGGGGGGGGGCAGGGGTTGAATAAGCGTGGGAGTCCCGAGGGGGGCCTGTCAGGGGGCGGGGGTGTGGATAGGGGTTGGGGCAGTTAGGGGACAAGGAGCGGGGGTGGGGGTTGGATAGGTGGTGGGGTCCCTGGTGGCAGTTAGGGGCGGGGGGTCCCGGGAAGAGGTGGTTAAGGGACAAGGAGCAGGGGAGTTGGATGGGTCGGAGGTTCTGAGGGGGGCAGTCGCCAAGCTGTTTGGGGGGGAGACAGCCTTCCCTACCTGGCCCTCCATACAGTTTTGCAACCCCAATGTGGCCCTCGGGCCAAAAAGTTTGCCCACCCCTGGTGTAGACACATAAATTGGTTGAGACAAGGTGATTTACATCAACCTAACGTTCTGGCATCGACCAGACCAATGCGTACAATGAGAGACAGATGACTAGACTGACAGACCGATGCGGGAGTACTAAGAAACAACGAGGTCAGAATGATAGGCAGTCATCTCAACACACCAAAACCAAACAAACGCTGACAAAATCTTTTGTCACATTTTTTGTAGGCATTATGGAAAAGGATAATTTTACGGAGGATAATGAAATAGCTTTGAAGATGTTTATGGGGAGCTTCTCACACATGAGGGGCACTTGGGAGAAAGCACAAAGGTGCCTGATTGAAAACCTAACAAGTGGACGATGGAGACTGATATCATGGTTGATTGGAGCCAGGAGCAGAGATTTTCATAGTGAATGAAAGTTGACAGGTAGGCAGGGATAGGTCTTGAAAGTGAGGACAAATAGCTTATGTTTGATGCACTTGAGAAGGGGAGTCAGTGAGAGAATACAAAGAGAAGGGTGACATGGTCAAAGCAACAGGCTAGGAAAATTATCTTCACAGCACCATTCTGAATGGATATAAGCAGGGCAAGGATGCACTTGTGAAGGCCAGAGAGAAGGATGTTACAGCAGTACTTGAGACGATGAGAGTCTTAGCCACATGGACTGATGGCACATGTATCTTAGAGATGTTAAGCAGAAAAAGTTGGCAAGATTGAGACATAGCCTAGACATGAGGACCTAGAGAGAGAGGTCGAAGTCAAAGAGGATGCCCATGTTTCAGACCTGAATGACAGGCAGAATGGTGGGGTTGTCCAGTGATCAAAGAAGGAGGTAGTGGGGAGGACCTGGGGGTAAGAGTAAGAGCTCTGTTTTAGCTTTACATGTCACTCACAGCAAGTTGTCCAGAACTGTGATCCCCTCCCTCTCTCCTTTCTTTCATGAGGATTCAAATGGTAAATAGTGTAGACATTTAAAAGTATAATTGCTGGGAATCCAAATTAACACCTCATGGAGATGAATAGAGCAGTTCAAACCTCTCAGAGCTACTATTATGTGAGTCTGCAGACTCACATAGACAACTTCATATTGGTGACATTCAGCTCACATTTTTGAAGTTTGCTTCACAGTCACAATAACTGGAAACATTTTAGTGACAGTGGAGATTCTGAACACAATAATAGCTCCAAGGGGGTCGACTACAGCACATGGTACATACCCGCTGTTTCTAAGTCTTGGCTGGCTGATTTTCCAATGTTAAGTTCTTTGGCTGCCAGTGGCTCCAGCAGTATGTGGGGAAACCCTAGCCATGCCCACCTTCCTCTTCCTCCCCCAAACACACTGCCATGCCAGTAGCAGGAAGGGTGGTAGTATAGAAACTATAATGTTGGTTCTACACCTCTGTAGGATCCCCCTACATTCATATGATCCTCAAAGGGCCCATTACAATGACTCCACACACAGATTCTGTGGATGGTTCAGTGAAAAGCAACCACATTGCACCAAGGTTCTGAGCTTTGGCCTCTCCACTAAGACCATTCCAAGGATCCTCCTACTTCTGACAAGAGGAAAAGTGCTGTAAAAGAGCTAAGTCTTCTGGTAGCCCAAAACATGATAGTCCAAAAAATTTAAACAGGGTGATATGGGGAGAGAGCTACATTATAAATAAATGTATATTTTGAAAAAATCTCCCTAGACCTCTGATAGTTCCTTGTGCTGTCAGTGCTTGGAAAGTATTTTCCCCAAGCATCTTTTCTTAACTTTGAGTATCTGTGTTCGTGAGGGGGAGGGGAGAAATTAAGAACAAAACATCAGCACAGATTTTATGCTTTAATACTACATTCTCTTGTTTTTCTGGATTTAAGTTTTAGCCTTAGCGGTACATTCACTTAGAGTAGTTTTGCTTTTTGTAGTTTAATTTCTTTATTTTTATACTAATAGTTTAAAAATATTAATAATAAAGGGGAAAATAATAATCTCAGATTATATTTAAATGTCTCTCCACCCATCCATCTCATGTACTTATGTGGCCCCTATTACCATAGTATCTTGAATGTATTTGAGAGAGAGTGAAGTGCTATTAGCCCCATTTTACTGAAGGGGAACTGAGGCACTGAGAAACTAAGGGCCTGTACCCACTAGTGCTTACTTCAGTATAACTTAAATCGCTCAGGGGTGTGAAAAGCCACCCCCGAGCGACGTATGTTACACTGACCTAAGTGCTGGTGTGGACAGCATTGTGTAAGCATGAGAAGCTCTCTCCTTTCATCATAGATCATCTGCACTAGTAGCGTGGCACAGCTACACTGGTACAGCTGCGCCGCTGTTGCAATTCTAGTGTAGACTAGCCCTAAGGCCTGGGTCTACACTAGGCACTTACATTGGTATAGCTACATCAATCAGGGTGTGAAAATCTCAGTGCAGACAGTGTTAGGTTGATAGAAGAATTCTTTTGTCAACCTAGCTACCACCTCTTGGGGAGATGGATTCCCTATGCCAATGGGAGAATGCCTCCTGTCAGTGTAGGTAGTGTCTACACTGAAGTGCTACGGCGGCATTGCTGTAGCGTTTTAAAGTGTAGACATACCCTAAGAGTAACATTTCCAAAGGTGCCTAAGTGACTCAAGCTCCTAAATCCCACTGAAAATCAATGAACCAAGCTAAGTAACTAAATATTTTTTTTAAAGGGACTTGGGAGACCTGGATTAAAATCTCTGCTCTGCTGCAGACTTCCTGTATGAGGCTGGACTTCCTGAGTGACATTGAAAAGTCAATGACATGGGGTAAGCGGCTAAATATTTGTTTTTAAATAGGACTTAGGCACTTTTGGAAATTCTAACTTACAGGACATGCCCAATGTCACAAAGGAAGCCTGTGGCAGAGCAAGGATTTGTAGAGAGGTCTCCCAAGTCCCAGTCTAGCTCTGTAACTATTGGACCATCCTTCTTCTTAAGTATGTATTTAATAATTTTAAAACATTTTATTGCCACGACGAGTCGATTTGAGACACAGAAATCTATGCATTGACTACAAAAACCTACTTACATTCTGAGATCCATAATTCTCAGAGCACTGTCTTTGGCATGGATTAATAAACGTCTTCCATTTGGATGTACTTCTAAATGATTTATTGGAGTCCCTTTAATATCATTTTCTTTTATTTCCTACAATGAAAAAATGAAGTTTATTGTAATGCAAGACTAATTTGATAGGAAACAAAGGTAAGGATGTCACGATGGTATTAACTCATGAAATTGGCAGGGGGCAGTACAAGGAAAGATTAAATGCAGTTTAAAAAACCCCCAAGCCAACAATGGTTCCTAAACAAGATACTATATCCCAAATCAAGTTTCCACAGCCAAATGGGATCCATAACTATGAAATCCTGAAAACCAGGATTGTTAACAGAAATGCTGACGTTAACCACAGAAGCGTGAACAAAGCTACTTTGACAAGATACATAGAATTAAAATAACAGACTATCTATGGAAGTACAAACAACACGTTACTGTGTGCAATTACAATGCTACCAATTCTCAAATGTTTGTTGTAAAAGCTGGTGCTAGGAATAAGCATTTACATTCTCTACTTACAGTATCATATCTAAAATAGTGACAAAAATCTAGAAATCCCCAGCCAGTGAATCACAGCATGTTTTATCAGCCGTTTGCAAAGTGTTAACAAGACATTTAGGGGAAATTTACTTTCCAACCACACAAAAGTGACATGAAAAAGTAATTAAATGGAAATTAGATGGCTAGATTTGAAACCACGTTACATAAAAGTTATCTTGCTAATTAAAAATATTTCTATACCTTATTAATACCCCAGTGTTGGACTGGATGTTGCGAACTTCCTTTGACAAAGGTATTCCAAACTATAATCAGCCCTGAGCTGTCTCCTGAGAACATGTGAAGTCCTGTAAAATAATAATTACACTTATGTAGTATTAACAGCAAGATTTTGAAACCATACTAAATGAACAACAGGGAATATGTGAGCTAGAGACATCTCCAAAACTAAATATACATTGGAAATTCTGTCTTATCAGTGCTATTAACAGTTTTATAGTCATTTCCACATTCATGGATATATTATAAACTGAATTATTACAGGCAATATTTGAACAGCAATGTTTTGTTTCTATTTTCTCCACTTGATGCAGGGATTGTCAAAAAGCCTAAATTTTGCTCATAATACATCACAGAAGTCAATATCGTAAATTCCAAACAGAATAAAAATGTAAATACTGTAATACTTACAATTAAATACTTTGACTGTTTTTCACTTAGATGCTAAGTTGGTTTTATTCAATGTCTTTGCTTTTTAGTATTGTCTTCCAGGCCTTAGATCAGACCCCTAGTGCGTAACTATCCAGTGAAGATCCTCGCTGAGAACAGGTTGAGCAAGAGCAAATGCAAATTTCCCTCCAATTGCTGCCTTTCAACAGCTGCTCTTAAACCAACAGTATACATCATTGTAAACAATGAAGTAGAAGGTTTCAGAGTGGTAGCCATGTTAGTCTGTATTAGTAAAAACAACGTGATTTTTCCTCCCTTGGTATTCTACTGTTAATTGAATTGTCTCATTAGACTGACCCCCCTTCCCCACTTGGTAAGGGGTGTGTGCGTGTGTGTGCGCACACACACACGCTACTGTATTTTCCACTCCATGCATCTAATGAAGTGGGTTCTAGCCCATGAAAGCTTATTGCCAAATAAACTTGTTAGTCTCTAAGGTGCCACAAGGACTCCTCATTGTTTTTAAATGAAGTAGAAGGTTCTTTTCTTTCTATGGTAAGCTGCCAGGCCTACCACAGAAATAACCCATCTACATTTTCATGAAATACCTATCTGAAAAACCCAGATTCCAAAATACAAATGATCCATCTTTGGGGAGCTCCTCCATTCACACAGCATCAACTCACATCTCCATCCAGTTACGCATTTTAGAATCTCTCTCCAACACCTCTTCATGGATGTCTTGCCACCAACACAGTCTTAATACTGCCAAAATTGAACTCCTTATCTCTCCTTCCAAACCCTCTCCATTCTCTGTCATTGTTGAAAAATTCACCATCCTCCTAGTTCCCAAAGCTGTAACCTAAGACTTTGTCTAAGCTACAGGTTACTTCAGTATAATTTATGTTGCTCAGGGGGTTGAATAATCCATACCCTGAGTGACATAACACTAGACAGCACTATGCTGGCGGGAGAGCTTCTCTCGCCAACATAACTACCACCTCTTGCGGAGACAGAAGAGCTCTCTTCCATCGGCTTAAAGCGTCTCCACCACAAGCGCTACAGCATCGGTGCAGCTGTGCCACTATAAGTGCTGTAGTGTAGAGGTAGCCTAAGAGTCATCTTAGTCTCCAGTCTCTCTCTCTCTCCTTCCCCCCCCCCCCACCGATAGAGAGAGAGAGAGACACACACAAAACCAGGCAAACTTTAAATCTTACCGTATCTTCCTCCACACCATTTCTAAAATCCAATCTTTTCTCGGTGTCCTTACAGCTAAAATTCTCAGTGACCCAGATCATCTCTCATCCTGATTACTGGATCATCATCCTCTTTGCCCTCCCTATATTATACTTACTCATCTAATCCACACCAAAAATAGCCACTAAGATTTTCCTTGCCTGTTGTTCAGATCAGGTCATCTTCCTCCTCTTTGAATCCCTGCACAGGTTCTCTCCTTCCCCACCATATTAGATTCAAACTTCTGGTCTTTGCCTTGAAGTCGCTACATCTTTTTACCTCTTCCTACTCAGGGCTGGCTCCAGGCACCAGCTGAGCAAGCTGGTGCTTGGGGCAGCAGCTTGTAGGAGGCGGCATTCTGCCCAATCCTAGGGCGGCACGGCCGTGTGTGCGTGTGTGTGTGTGGTTCCGCTCTGGCCGCCCTGTAGGGGGCGGCGGCGTGGAGGATGGGAGCACCCTGCAGCAAGCCTGGCAGGGCATCCCGCATCCTTCCCTCCCAGCCGACCGGAGCGGTGCGGAGCCCTCCTGGCAGGGAGCACGGCAGGAGGGGCCGCGTGGCACGGCCTCCTGGCCGCCCACCTTCTCTCTCTCCCCCCACTAGCCACATCTACAGTGCAGGGAGTTCCCCTGCAGGTTTTTTTGTTTTTTTTTTTTTGCTTGGGGCAGCCAGGAAGCCAGAGCCGGCCCTGTTCCTACTTATCCCACTCTTTTTTCTAGGGCTGTCAATTAATCGTAGTTAACTCAAGCGATTAACTCAAAACAAATTAACTAGATTAAAAAAATTAATCGCAATGAATTGCAGTTTTAATCACACTGTTAAACAATAATAGAAAACCAATTCAAATTTATTATAAATATTTTTAGATTTTTTCTACGTTTTCAAATACATTCATTTCAATTACAACACACAAAGTGCTCACTTTATATTATTTTTATTGCAAATATTTGGACTGGAAAAATACTGTTTTATCTTTTTAAATTCACCTCAGACAAGTACTGTAGTGCAATCTCTTTATCATGAAAGTGCAAAATACAAGTGTAGATTTTTTTTGTTACATAACTGCACTCAAAACTAAAACAAAGTACAATTTTAGAGCCTACAATTCCACTCAGTCCTACTTCTTGTTCAGCCAATCTCTAAGACAAACAAGTGTGTTTACATTTATGGGAGATAATGTTGCATGTCCTCTGGAATGGTGGTCAAAGCATGAAGGGGCATATGAATGTTTGGCATATCTGGCATGTAAATACCTTGCAATGCCGGCTACTAAAGTGCCATGAGAATGCCTATTCTCACTTTCTGGCAACATTGTAAATAAGAAGAGGGCAGCATTATCTCCCGTAAATGTAAACAAATTGTTTGTCTTAGTGATTGGCTGAACAAGAAGTAGGACTGAGTGGACTTGTAGGCTCTAAAGTTTTACTTTGTTTTGTTTTTGAGTGCAGTTACGTAACACACAAACAAAAAAATCTACATTTCTAAGTTGCACTTTCACGATAAAGAGATTGCATTATGGTATTGTATGAAGTGAATTGAAAAATACTATTTCCTTTGTTTATCATTTTACAGTGCAAATATTTGTAATAAAAATAATAATATAAAGTGAGCACTGTATACTTTGTATTCTGTGTTGTAGTTGAAATCAATATATTTGAAAATGTAGAAAACATCCAATAATATTTAAATAAATGGTATTCTATTATTCTTTAACCATGCAATTAAAACTGCGATTAATTGCAATTAATTTTGTAATTGTTTCACAGCCTTATTTTTTTCCACATTGCCTCTCCACATCTCTGCTCAGCCCAAAATACCAGCCTTGACACACCATTTGCCTACTTCTCCCACAATAGTCTCCATTCTTTATTCCATACCAACTTCTACCATGACACTTACAAGAAACTAGCCAACTAAAAATAGTTAGGAAGAGGGTCAATTGTGGATAATCTATATATCTAAAATATGTATCATCAAGACCTTGCTAGACATCACCTTGACCCTTTTACATCTGTTGTATCCTTTTTCCCGTCTTTTGCCTGCTTATTTATCTTTTCGGCCCAGGCTATGTCTTCCTATATACGTTTGCACAGTGCCCAGCATATTGTAGACATGCCCAGATTACAGATAGTAAACAATAATTTAATACATCAACACACTGGGTAGTAGTAGATCTCAGTGAGACATTTTAATAAAACAACAATTGTAATAAAATAAAAACATCCTGTTTTTTAACAACTATTTCAATGAAATAAACCAAACTGAGCATGCTTGAATTGCTCTTTGTTTGAGATGCAATTATGACATAATGAACATACCTTCTGAATCAAAACACAGGGTATTGATGAAACTTTTGTGACCATCAAACTCCTGTAGCAATTGACCATAGAGCTCTTTCACTTTTGTATTCCATACCCTAATTACAGAGTCATAACATCCTGTCACCACAAGATAGTTAGCAACTGGATGGTACTTTGCAGTGTAAACAAATGAAGGATGAGGGAAAACTCTCACAGAAGTTGTAGCCTGGGTCTCAATTTTCCACATTCTTTAAAAAAAAAAAGTTAGGACAACTGTCTCATAACGTAATTACCATATAAATTAATACCAAATTTTGTGCTAATGGTTCTAGATGTAAATACATGCAAATACTTAAGGGGCTAATTGAATCTACTGAATTTTTGCAGCTATACTCAAAAGTTTGTTGTGGAACATTCCAATGGGAATTAAGCTTCACGAGGGACAGGTTTTGAACGCTGGAAATTTAGCTTCCACCTTGTTTCTAGCATCCCTGTACAGGCACGGGGTCTAGCTTAAACTGAAACTTAGTTTTAAAATATTTTTTTCTTAAATATCTAATTACATGAACAAACTAACTAGTAACTAAGCAGTAAGACTAACTAATTAACTACACTAACGCTGCGGAGAGAAGAAGGAGGGCACTGCAAGGATTCCATCTTGCTGCTACAGAACCAAGGGGCAGCTGGGCCCACTCTGCCTTTTATGCCCTCAGGCTTGGATGAATAGTGCGAAGATGTCCAGGGCAAAGGCATGACCCCAATGTATACAGCTGGCCAAAAAACCCCCAAAAGCCTGATCTCACACCCAAGCATACTAAGAGTGGAAACAATGTGGACAATCACTTGAAGAACTTTAAATTTATATCCCCTCTTTGGGGATTTTAATTATGCAGCTGCCTATAGCACTATGGAGTTGGCCAACAAAGGCAATAGCTAGGAGGTTGTTGTGCATCTACACATCAGTGAAGATTAAAACCTATGAGGTTACCCATAACACATTTGTGGAATACTATGGCCATATTTTTTCTTGCTGTGTTTTAAGTGTTCTGTGTTGGTTTTTTTGGAGGGATGAGGGAGCTTTAAGTACCTCAAGATCTGCTGCTTAAACACTGCATTAATGTAACTTTTTAAATTTATACACAAGAGGGGAAAAATTTCAGAGTTAAGATTTTATATACCTGATACAGTGATTTACCTTGAGTTACATATTTAACAGCCTAGTCAAGAATTCAAACTACTATATATAATTGCAATGTGGTAAAGTTAAAGTTGCCATCTGAATTCTAAATTTTCAATTTCCTGCCTTGTGTATTCAAATTTGCAACCTTAATATGGCATTAAGATTGCTTTTGCATCTAGAATATGGTAATTTTTTGCAAGGATTAAATATTCCAAGAGTCCTATTGATTTCTGTAATAGCTGCTGGGTGCTGAACACTTTTGAAATATAAGGCCATTTATTTAGGCGGCTAAACGTGGATTTAAGAGCTTATACTTAGGCAACATTTTAAAATCCTGGACCAAAACCACCATATATTTTAAACCAAACATAATAAAATTATTCCGAAAAAGCTATAATTCTATCATAGCTTTCCAATAACATTAACAAATAACTCAAATTACACTCAAATCCATGGTTAAAAGTTGTCCAGCACAGTTTATGACAAAGACACAGCCTACTTATAATTTTGACAACAGTTGCTATAACATATCACTCATACTGACCTGACAGTGCCATCAGAGGATGCAGTAAGGAGGTACTCATCATCTTTTGACCAACAAAGATCATATACAATATTAAGGTGGCCATAAAATTCTCTCAAGTATTGTCCAGAAGGAATCTCATATACTAATGAAAATGTAAATAAAAAGGTTACATTTGAAAACATTTGAAACTGCTTTTCCAATAATAAAGCATCAATACTCAAAAGAAAACCATTTAGGGCCAAGATTTTATATATAGGACATATAACTGCATGTTCCAACATAAATTAAATCTTCAAATTTGGAAGATGTTGATGCAACCAACATCTGGAATATAATTACTACAAAGCTAGACATATTCCTAGGGCCAAGTCATTGCTGGCATAAGTGAATTCAATTCCACTAGCTCCTAATTTCCATAATTCAAAATCAAATAGCTACTGGGTATGCATTGTTAATAATTTAAACACAAGTTTGCAAGCATCTACTTCCATCTAGTGGTTCATGGATGCGTCACAAGTGCATTAACCCCTTTAAAAATTAGACTAGACAGTTTAAGTTATCAGGGATGAACCTAGGACATTAAGTAAATACTCTTTATTTTTATTTTTTTAAACTCTGATTGCTACATAAGAATATTAATGGTGAGGTCAATTTTTTGGTGATCAGCAAGTTTTGTAGAGAAGCAATATAAATGTGATAGCTACTATTTAAGTACTTGCATTTATAGGTTTTGCCTTTTATTCTATGTGGAGATGGAACATTGTTCCCAAGAATCTCAAAAAATCGATTATATTCGGTTTCAAAATGCAACAAGTGACATTTTCTTGCACAAAAGCAGCTCAGGATATGAATAGTATTGCTAGTCATTAGTGAGCTGTATTGGGAGATTTTTGTGAAGAAGACTGCCTGGCATCTCCAACGTTATGCCTGGCTCTAGTAAGCATTATTGGTTAGTCACTTTCATGAAAACTAAATTCATTCACAAATTCCTTTTCCCCCTATAAAAACAATCTACGAAAGGGGCAAGTTATTTCACTTAAAAACTTATTATCAGAACTTATATTCCTGGCACATTTCAGACTCTCAGATTTCTACTGGATGCTGAAATACTGTAATATCAAGTCCTTAAACTGGACATATACATTACCACATATGAAAAGTCATACTGTCTTCAATCAGGCAGACACTTTGCTAAATTGGCCTTACAGCAAAGAATATTTACAATGCTGAATTACTAAATAAATCTACTAAAAGAACATAACTGTTAATATAAAACTTTTATGATCCAAAAAGTAACACCTTTTTTTTTAAAGTCCAATCTACACACTCTTCAAAATAAAAAAAACTAAAGGGAAAAAAAAGAGCTCTTTGCATATGTTATAGCTCTATGTTAAAATAAAAGTAATAAATTTGTAACTTACAAATAATGGGATAACCATCCCTCCCTGCACAGGCTGCTGCTAATGTTTTTCCATCTTGAGAAAAACGAATACAGAAACATCCCATATCTCCTGCTCTCAGTGAAAAGAGATGCTTGTTTGGTATACGACAAGCCTACATTTCCAAATAAAAACAGTTATTGCACAGTTGTGAATGTTAACAAATACACAAAACTTAAAAGACATTATGTATTTAACAACTCTTACACTGCTGTAAAAATATAAGCATTTTTACGGTTTTAAAAACAAAGCAACTTTCTGCCCGTGCATTGGTTATTTTGATTTTGAAAATCTTTCTTCACTCCATGACTTCAACAATAGAACTTAAGTAAGTAAAAGGATTCTTTCCGGCAATCCCATTAATGCATGTATAAAATGTGCATTTTAACTGAACACTGATTTTTTTAAATTGGTCCTCTTATATTTTAATAATCTGAGGAAATAAGGTTTATGTATTGCCGTGTTGATCCTTTTGGAACTTTTCCACAAGCCAAAATTCAGCAAAATAAGTTGTTAGTACCTGGATCTCTCAAAACCACAATTTCTACAGTATTTACATGGACAAGTTTAATAGTAAATAATTTAATATTTGAGGATGTCTAGACAATATTCTCAAGATTATAATTCACTTAATTTGGCTCATGCATTTATTTGCCTTTCTGCAAAAAGGCAAAAATTAGTTATAAAACATTTTGAAAAATAATTTAATCTAAATTTACACTATTTTTATTCATCCTAAACATGTCAAAAACAAATTTGTTTCCATATCCTTTTCATCTTTGGACAATTTGCTGTTTTAAAACAATTTGTTGATTTTTCTAACATTTCCTTGTTACTACTTAAATCACTGGTTGTTATTAAATAGAAATAAAACCATTGGCAGTTTTTAAGACAAATGATATATAATGTCAAAAAATCAAGGTACATAATCAAACAAAAGTCATTTACATCAAAGATTAAATTGGGATTTTCTTTTGAACAAATGCACTCTGTGTATTAGTTGTGTTTCTTACATGGCATCCAACAGTGAAATAAACCCTATTCCCATTTGGAGAATAAATGGAATGATTATATGCACAATAATAGGCCCTACGTGTGGTGGGGATCCGTGAGTGAGGAGTGGGCAGGACCAGAAGCACCAGGAGTCGAGCTGCATTACTCCTCTTGATCCCCACTAAGCTGGTGAAACATCCTTTGAATGAGGAGTCCCAAGAATCATGTTGTCAAGGCCCTGGAGAGTGCTGCACAGGTCCCCAATCTAGGATGGGAGCCTAGGGCCTCCATGCAAAGAGCCCCACCCTCCAGCAGGTTCCTGAGAGCCACCCACACCCTCAAAACCAGACTTGTTTCACAATACTTATACCATAAAATAACCTTATTAGCAGAAAGTGGATTTTTTTGGTACTTTTAAAAAAATCTTCACCTGTCCAGGCAGTCTTGTCCATTTCAACTGCTCCTTTTTCTCATGTGGACTATATACAGTAGCTTTTTTTGATACCTCATTCTGGAGCTCACGGAATGACGTGCTACCTTGTTCCTGCTGAACAGCCATCATAGAGCGGAAAGAAGGATCTACCTAAAGGCAGACAAAATATCAATAGCACAATCAATTATATCAGGAAAACACAAAATGTTTTAAGTACAGTAACATATTTCACAAAATTGAAATAAGTCTCAAAATGTTAGGATCTAAACATATTTTGTGTAAACACTGAAAGAAAATTAAATGGGGGCAATCCTTGTATATGAAAAAATACCTGATAGTACAGTGATACATGCAGTTAAACAGTAATGCATAATACTTCCACAAGAAATAAGTGAAATTCATCATCAAATATAAATGAAGTGCAATGAAAGTAGCCAACAAGCCTAAACTGGTGAAAAGTAAATTGGAGTGGTAAAATTCTGTCAGATGGTTGATAAATCTTTTACTTACATGATTCATGCTTTTCTGTTTTATCAGCCTTTTCCACAATTGGGCCCAATTCAGTTTAAGCATGAGTTCTCCCACTTAAATCAAGTTAATCTACCCACCCCAGATCTAGCGGACACCGCTCTTTACTGAAATTCACAGCTGGTGCCAAGGGCCAGCACAGGCTCGCTACATTAGTTATTAATTGTGGAGGGAGACTGAAGTTATAAGGGACTGAAATTTCACAAAGAAGATAGAACATCATATAGCACATGAGAGCAAACTACGTAATCTCTGTCCAGCCTGACTGCCATAGTGGCTACTGAACTCAGGCTCCTCTTTTGACAATTTTGATAAGGAAAACCATAAATATCTTAATGAAATGCACACTAAAATCCCTCCAAGAACATGCCTTAATATCAGGGAGAAGCAAGTCACTTCTATTCTCTGTGCCTCTGTTTTCCTTCCACTCTTTGTCTGGCATGTCTATTAGATTATAGTTCAGGCCAAGGACCGACTCCTACTCTATGTTTCTATAGTGCCTAGCACACTGTGGCCTTCGAGACACTACTGTAATACAGGTCTGTCGCATCTTAGGCGCATTTAACATATGCGATTTCAGCTTTACACGGTCGGCAAAAAACAAAAACACAAAACAAACAAAACCCAAAAACAAAAAAGAGAAAAATAACAATTTAAATACTGTTTCTGTAGTGTGGGCGATTCCGCCCGCCATTACACTCAATGTAATTTTGACTATACGCGATTTTCGCTTTAGGCGCTGACTGTGGAACGTAACCCCAGCGTAAGATGAGACAGACCTGTACTAATAAAACTTTGTGGATAAAGTTACCAATGCACATGTTATTCCATGTATAGCAAACAGTTACTACTGCACATGTAACAGCTACTATTACACTTAGACCCATAGATTTCAGGAGGAATATGTACAGGGATAGAGATTATACAGTAGTGACTGTCTGCAGGATCAGTCCCTAAAGTCAGAAAGTCAGGAAAGGCAGAAGTTAAGAGCATTTAAGAAGAACAAAAATTTAAAAATACTATAAGTGTGCAAAGGATTAAATTCACCTGTGGTTCAAAGGGCCAGTACAAGACACTCGTAGAGCCTATATGGGGCCATGCAAAGAGACTGCGGGTGGACTGGCCAGCCATGTGGAGGTGCTTATCCACTCATGTTCTATGGAAAGGGTCAGTGTACTAGAAGGGCAGCACAGGAATGAGGCAAGGCAGGCCAGGGGTAAAGTCCGGTGGATCTAACAATACATGCAACTATTGCAGAAGGTCTGTAGCTGCTATTCCAGTCCATAGGCTTAAATAGTGACTTGAGAGGGCTACACAGCAGCCTTACATGCTGGCCTTAGATTGGGAGTGTGGATTTCATTGCCTCAACCCCACCACACTTCACCCACATGTCAGTATTAAACAAAAATAAGAAATCTGTCAAGATTATAGACAAAGAAGCCAGTAATAAAAATAAAATGTTGTTAAATACTGTATATATTGTTTTAAGTCCCATCTGGGGTTGGAGCAAATAATCATAGCTATTTTGAATTTAAGATTTCACCTCCTTTAAAAGGTGTTAAATCTGATAAAAGTACATTTTCTTATATAGTTTTTTGAACAAAAATAAAAGTTAGGGGCCAAATTCTCCTCTCACTTTACACTAATTTTACACCAGTGTAATTCAATTAACTTTAATGATGTTTGGCCCAGTTTTTAGCAATATGAGAGGAGAAAGAGATCCAAGATGATACATGACTGCCTGTATGTTTTATGGAAACCATTGGCCAAATTCCAGGAAATTCAGAGTAGTAGGAGAAACTGATTTGAACATTTTTACAGAAAGTTGTAAAGTGCTAAGTAGATTAAAAAAAAAAAGAAAAGAAGAGGGGGCATGTTAAGATGTAATATGCTTAGTATAGCAAGTTATAAAGGACAGTTACAGAAAAAAAATAAAAATGTAAACTGTCATCTGATTTCAATTACAAATAAATAGCTTGAATGGATCTTAAGTATTTCTGTTTATATATAAATATGTAAATGTACTTAACTTACATGATCTGGTAGTTTTATGCCTTTTACAGTTACATATAATGTTGATGGGTAACGATTTCTAGGACCTTTTGCCCACCAATCAAAAACCTCAACAACATTTGACTGTGTCCTGGTCCTTGGAGGTGGATAATATAATTGCAGACGAAGTTTCCCATCAATGTTTAGCACTCCGTTTGCACCTACAAGCTAAAAGAGTAATTTAAAAAAAATTAAAGAAATTTGCTACTTGTGTTCAAAATTCATACAAGTCATTGATGACACTGACACTTTTGACCAACTAGGGGCTCAACTTACTACTGGGGATAGTTATTATTCCCACGAGTGATGTCCCCACTCTACTCAATGGATTACTCTTGAGAGTAAGCAAGCACTACCCTAGTACGTTTGCAGGATCAAGCCCTACTATAATTCAGAAAGCACTACCATTTTTGATGCGTCTCTTCAAACTGGCATTCTTCTGGAGTCTTTTTCTTACAGCAATTGAGGCATTACAAGTTACATTTTGTTGAAATAATTCAGGCAAATAAGAATTTGCAATAAATATTTTATCTGTGTCATATCGCCACAAAAATAGAGAAAATTTGTTAAAATAAATTTTGTATGTTTAAAAAAAAATTGGTAAAAGCTCGTATAGCGTTTAAGAGAAACTAAATATTTCTGTTACTTTACTCCTATCCGGCCTCGGTCTTAAATGGTGCAAAACTACAATACCTTTAAGTGACACAGACCCACGCAACATCTACTTCCTGAACAGACACAAGAAACAAATGATTATATCGAGGGGCCTCACCATCTATAACCCTCTGACCACTACATAAAACTCCAAGTAGGATGAACAGCTCTGCGGAAGGACCTCAGAAAAACTGAGGAACCACCTCCTCCATCTTATTTCAGAAGGGCCAACCTCAAACAAGAAATCATCACGTGCTCTCACACACTGGAATAAAAAAAATAAGGAAACATACCCGGAGATCTTGCAGGAAACCTGAAACAACTATAAAAAAGCCCTCTGATGACAGCCATCCAACATAAAAACAAAAAATGAAACTAACTACAACAACTCCACAACAGATACCACTTTTGGGAGAAACCATGACGCCAAGACCCACTAAATGGACACTACACGACACCTCATCATCATCAATCTATCAAAACCACCCCTAACTGGAACTGAAGTATCTGCTCTCTCCAAGGGACTGAACTTCTGCTCCCCTGCAGAACCGGATACCGTGCTAACATGTGGAGAACTAGAAGAATTCTTCCACCGATTCTGCCTCAAGGAATTATTTCACAACTAAGACAATACTACCCAACTACCACACCCCCACTGACAGAAGAAAAAAAAATCTGACTGGACACCCCCCAGCAGAAAAAAACACCATTGGATCATTACATTGATTGCTTCAGGAAAAAAAATTGACTGGGACATCCTCAACAAACATTACATTCACCACAACCTCTCTACCACAGAAAAGATAGCCATACAGTCCCTGAAGTCCAAATACCAGATAGCAATCAAAGCAGAAGACAAAGGGGGTGCCACTGTGGTCTTTAATCATGATGACTATGTCAAGGCCAACAGACAACTCTTTCACACCCCCTGCAATAAAGAACTCAAAGATGACTCCCACACCACAATTCACACTGGAATTTAAAGACACCACCAAATCTTGTCCCAAATAACTCCTGGAAAAACTCTACAACCTCATCCATCACAAACCCACCCCAAGAACCTTCTACATGCTTCCCAAGATACACAAACAAGGGAGCCCAGGCAGACCCATCATAACTGGCCACAGCACTCTTACTGAAGGAGTATGAGGACACACAGAAACCATTGTCAAACCACTCATCACACAAAGGAACTACCTCCAAGACACTACCAACTATTTCCAGGAACTCCACGACATTAACAACCTCCCCCAGACCACCATCTTTGCCGTCATGAATATCACCTCATTACACACTAACATTACTCCCCCTGATGGCATTGCTGACTGCCTCAAATATCTACAAGATCATATAAAACACTCAGAAATTCATCCTAAACACATTTCCTAACTCATCCATTTCACCCTCACCGACAACAATTTCACACCTAACAAACATACATTTTGTCCAAACCATGGAAACAGCCATGGATACTAGGATGGCTCCCCAATATGCCAATCTCTTCATGGGACTCCTCAAGGAAAAATTTGTGAAAAAAATGCATCATGAAGTGAATGATATACCTGAGAAACATAGATGATATTTTCATCCTCTGGACAGACGACCTCAACTCCTTCATAGATTTCCATCACAACTTCAACCACCATCACCCATCCATCAAACTCTCTCTAGAATACTCCATACCTGCATCAGCTTCATGGAAACCATGATGAGCTTCAGCAATAGAACCCTACAAACAACTATATACAAGAAACTCACAGATCACTTTTACCAACCGAGGTACACTTAGAAATCTGTTATTTACAGCCAGACACTCAGATACCACAGAATTTGCTCCGAAGAGAAAGTCCGGGATCCATACCTAAAAATTCTTAAAACTGCCTTCACTAAACAAGGACACTCCACCAGATAAGTAGATCACATCATGGAAAGGGCCACCCAAATACTCAAGAAGAACCTTCTTCCATTCAGAAAAAAAAAGAAAAGAAAGCCTACTGACCGCACACCCCTAGTTGTCACCTGTCACCCCACATTGGAACCCATACAGGGTATCATCAAATAATTACAACCCATATGTTATATTTATAAGCAGCACATGGAATTTTTTTCAAGGGGATAAGGCAATACGCCGTGTTTATTGAGAGTACAATTTAAGAATTAAAATCAGCATCTGCTTCCATTCACACACACACACACACACACCTCAAAAGGTTCTGCAGCTGGATCTTATAGTTACCAGTCCTTAGAGTTGCTCTGTCAGTTCCAGTGGACAGCTGAAACTGCACACAAGGGAGGGGAGGAGCTGGAGCTAGGTCTCGATTGGATGCGTCCGAAGCTCTGATGTTGATGAAGAACAAACCCAAAGTCCCATGGCAATACACCCTTCTTTTATAGTAATAAGTTCCCATACAAGTCTATAGGCCTTGCTGTGTCACACCAGAGCTGTTAATCACGAGGTAGTCAAGGTTGCTGTCAATCAGCATTATTTTGGGTTGTTACTGGGAGTATCCACAGCTGTTTCTTATCTCGTCCCTCTGGCTCCATTCTTTATCTTGTCCTTGGGGCGTATGCCTTTCTTTTAGGGTCATCAATCTGCCATCTGGGTGATTCTGATAATAAGGTTGGTGCCTCTCGACTTTTCCACTCCCCTCTTGACCATCCGGCCCCTCGGTACTAGCACCTCCTGTGTCTTCTTTGTTAGCATGCCATATATTCTTCACTCACACACAAATCAGTAAATAATTTCAAAAGCAAGAATTACAGCCATAAAACTTCTATCCTTCTAAAAACAATCATTAGCACGTAAAACAAAGACTAAAACCAAAACAATTTCTTCTTACTAATTCAAAGCTAACAAAATAAGCAAATGGAGTACAATTTCCTCGAGACAATTTCTCCCCATTAGGCTTTTGGAGTGGATTTTATTAAAGATACAACGGCTCCTGTGTCAATTAGAGCTAGCGTAGGAGCATATCTACCCTGCTGGACATAAATACATGGTCACCCCCCGGGGACCCAGGTGATCTTACCTATGAACCTCCACTGCTGTGCTCCTACATAATGTAGGGGTTCCCTGTCCAGCAGGCCTGACTAGTTGTCTTCTGGAGGAGGAGGCAAAGGAGGAGCATTAGGGGTTATGCTTGCTACCTCCTTCTGCTGCAATTGTAATTTAAGGGCCTCCCAGTCCATGCTCCATCCCACTTTTCCTGGCTCTCCCCATGCTGCATTAGTGTCCGTCAGGCTAGCCAGGGAACTTTGTTCTCAATGGAATTTGTATTCCTTCTCTCCCTGTTGTTGGCACCGCTTAGTGCCCTCTGGGAGGTATCAGGGATCCGGGTATTACCCTTTGTCTGCAGTTACCCAGTCCGTGGGAGCAGCCTCATGTGAAACCTCCACAGGGTCCCGATATCCCCTTGAAAAAGATTCCGTGTGCTCTTATAAGCGTAACACATTTGATGGGGACCACATCCTGAAAAAAAAAAATCTTTCCCAGACCCATTCTTCTGGCCTTCAAACAATCCCCCAACCTTGCTATAAGCTCATCATCAGAAGCAAGCTCCCCATAGCCCAAAACACAAAACTCAAAGCAGCACCAGACCCTGCCAGAACAACAGATGCAAAACATGCAGACATGTCTCCATCACTACAACCATCAATACTTCCCACAATACAACTTTCAAGATTCCTGGGTCCTACACATGCCTATCTCAAAAAGTAGTGTACCTCATCCAGTGCATCGAATGCACCACCAATGGGGGATAAAACCAGACAATCAGATGATAAGCTCTTGAATAAACTCATACAGAAAAATGATAAAAGACAAAAACACCTTCTCACCTGTGGATGAATACTTTTCACAAAGCAATCATTCCATATCTGATCTTTCAATATTTGTCCTCAAAGGAAACCTGCACAGCACCTTCAAAAGGTGAGCCTAGGAAATTAAATTCATATCTCTAATAGACACCACAAACCATGGACTCAACAAGTTTCATGGTTCATCATTCCAAGTTGTAACACACCTCACTGCCTGCTAATCGGTAATTGACCACTTCATTTTAAGTGGTCTCCTACAATGTGTGAATCCCTTAACTATCTGTCCCAATTTATATTTAGCTTAGACTCTCGGATTACCTTCCCCAGACCCGAAGAAGAGCTCTGTGAAACTCAAACCCTCCACCAACAGAAGTTGGTCCAATAAAAGAGATCATCTCACCTACCTTGTCTTTCCCAAGAGAAAAAGGGCATTCATGAATTTATTACAATTTTTCACAAGAAGTAGATGTGTAATATATTGTACTTGGGAAAGAATCCATATTTACAACATCAACTCCTTTCCAGAGGGAAAAGTCAAAAAAAGGTTTTGTTTTAAGCTGGTTGTTTAAGACAAAATATTATATTTGTAATGTGATTAACAGTTGCAGAAATCCAGTGAGTCTCAATGGACAGTGCCAGAAAGAGCTGCTAGGTCCCTGCTCCTGCCCCCACTTTTTCCATGTCCCAGTGAAGGCGCTTCTGGTGGAGGACAGAAGGCGTAGCAGCTCTCCCACCTTCCCCCAAAGTGAAAAATTCATACCCGAGAGATGAAGTTAAGCCGACCTAAGCCTCTACATAGACACCACTATGTCAACAGAAGAATTCTTCAATCAACCTAGTTGCCTAACCTCTCAAGGAGATGGATTTATTATAGTGATGGAAAACCCCTGTCACTGTAGCAAGTATCTATGCTAAGGCATTACAACGGGGTAGCTGCAAAGCTTTACAACTGTAGCACTTGTAGTGTAAACATCCCCTAGTAGCATAGCATGACTTAGGGTTAGAGGAAATAAGTGAGCTCTGGAACTTATCCTTTCCATAAGTTAGTTTTTTGCCTACTAGGAGCAGGAGATGGACCACTGTTTGTCAGGATGCTTCCCCTTTTGTAGGATTAAGATGAATCTTGCAATTTCATTATTTCAAGGGTGGAAAAACCCACAGTGCCCCCTCAATATTTGGATTCAACTAAAAGCTCCACTAGAACTTTGAATAGCACTTAAACAGAAGACACTAACTGCTCTTGAAGTAATATTTCTGGTCCCAGGTGTACAGAGAAGCCACCCATGACATTTATCAATTGATTAGCCTTTATTCAGAAGCTCCTGATTTTTCTGCCAAGAGCTACGCTTGAAAAAGAATATGCATTTTTCCACGCATTTTGTTCATTTAGTTGAGAAATATCAATTTTCTCTATTGCCACACCTATTTTCTCTGTATATCTACATGATCTTTTAATAGCATGAGCGCTGTCTGAATCTGCCTCTTCTATACCTGTGATTTAAAATACTTTTTAAAAATTTTTTGTTTTAAAAAAGTTTCCCACTAAGTAATTCGTTTATGTGAAAAACTGGCTTTGTCAATTTCTTTTAGATTCTTTATGCAGGCTTTTTAGTCTTCTTTTGGTTTTATTTTTTTGTATGTTTAAGTTCACAATACCTTTAGAAATGCCCAAGAGATTTTGCGAAAACCACTTTCCTTAATTTGCACTTCAGAGTTGGCTCTTGCTTCATTCATGCTTAAGAAATCAAGGATCTGCAGATATTAATTAGAATATATACATACATTACCATTGAGAATGCACTTCTTGGAAGTAATAACTACTACTGAAGGTATTTTAGATAGGATTCATGGATTTAAACAAAATTCTCATTTTACTTATTATAAAAATATAATTTACTAACTATCCAGTGTCCACATCTACCCCAAGTGATATTTAAACATACATATCACATCAGTGTTATGATCTTCAAACATAAGTCATTTTTTTTAAAAATGTTTCTTATTTCACATCAGTCTCATTATATTTTTTATAAACAATTGAACAAAAGCAACTCTTCACAAACCCTTTATATGTCCCCAAACTGATTGCACATTTAATCCAGATAGAAGTATGTGGTCAAAAAGATCATTTTCTTTTCCTAGCTTCATCATTTTAGTATACAATTCTCTTGATTTTCTTGGTCTGCAACCAGAATCTCCTCATATCCGACCACTTCTGCAACTTTACATGGCACGCATAATATTAGCGTTACAATCCATCTTTGGATTTGTGGCTAAGTAACGCCAGTGAAATCAATAGAAAATGCAGGCTTTCATTTGACAAAGATTTTGTCTCAAACTTTAAAACTGTTTCCATGAAGAGCCTCTATACACTACTGGTATCACTTTTGTGATAAACCACCAGGATCCTCTCTTAGTACTTTGAATGTACTTATTTTATGAAAATTGCAGACCATAAAGGAAAATCTGGCACTGTTATTAGATTGCAAATGCACAATGTATTTAGAAAAACATATGATAGGGGTATAAAAAAAATTATTGATTGTACTAGGTCTTCATTTCCACATTAACACTATATAAACTCTCTTGTATATAGAAGTCTATAAATACCGGCTACAGTTATGCTCAAAAACATGTTCGGAACATGCTTTACAATTTTTCCTATAAACATAAATGTATTTGAGGCTGAGGTAGTTATTGCTGTGTGAGTAATGATGAAGAAGAAACAGATGTCTACTTTTTTTTTTATGGCAAACATGCAAAAAATCTGTGGGCTACATGTTGGCTAGCCTTGCTTACGTATACAAGTAGGAGGCGGCAGCACTAAGGGGGCAGCCACTATCAGCCCCTGAACTGATGGTGTTAGAAACACAAAAAAGGACAGTGACCCTACCCTATTCGTCTGTCAGCAAGAAGTGCTAATTCAATGAGAGGGCATCATAGCTCCCAGTGTGGCATGCCCCTTTCAGTCCTTCCTGGTAGCATTCTGATTGTGTCAATAAGACACATTCGCCAAAATATTTATTTATTACCCAGAACACAATTTTGCTGAGGGAGGGATTTTCAAAACTGCTTAGTATTGGCCTAATTTTACTTCCATTGGCTTCAATGAGAGAACAGCTGGCCAATGCTGAGTGTTTTTTAAAATCTCCATCATAATATATATTCTCTTAAAAAACTATGGTATTCCAACAATATAACTGTAAATCATAAATAAAGTGCTGCCAGAAATACATGGTCAGAAACCTGCAACCTGAAAAATTTACTGTAAAATATTTCATCTGTACCTCAAAAAACAGGACTACTTTGGGGCTTTCTTCAGCATCTTGAAGGAAATAACTAAAACGTTCATTAAATATGATTTGTTCCTCCCATTCTGGAAGTGTTGATTTAAATTGTCGGAAATCGTAAGGCTGGGTCATAATAGGAAGAATGTGCTCCACTCGCTCTTGTTCATAAAAAGATGAAACCGCCCGGCTGCTGTTTAAAAACAACCAAATGCAATTGTCAATATTTTTCAAAAAAGTAAGCGAAGAACAAAATACTACGCCTACTTCAACTACTGTAAACAAAAAGAGTACAAGACGGCCATTCTCTTTATTTTAGAAAGAATATTTAATAACCACTGGAGATCTTAATGCAACTGATGATGTACAGGGCAATAAGCAGAGCTGGAGTTCCAAATCCCAATAATCAAGCATTTTGATTGGGCCTGATCCATAGTCCATTGAAGCCAATACAAGTCCCATTGACTTCAATAAGCTTTGGATCAGGCCCCTCATGAATTACTAGCAGAGCTGGGAATAGGTAAGCGAAACAGTAAGAAGAATGGAGAACTCAACTTCATTTCAATATTCTTATGGATGTTTTGCCAATAAGCAAAAAAATCTCTTATTCATGCCTCAATATGTTTGTTTGCTTATTCTCAACAAGGCTTCTAATGATTCTGCCATATCTCTCTTTGTTTTGGGAGAAGAGTCAATCAGCCACATTGCAAATATGTGTCTGATCAGCTACACTGCTACTCTGATAATACATGTGCTCCAAAAGTGAAAGAAAACAAGCAATGGCCCCATTCGTGCAAACACTTACACATGTACTTTATTTAAGTATGCAAGTTGTGTGGGGATTTGCAGTCAATAAGACTACACCCATGCTTAAAGTTAAACATGTATGTATATGCTTATTTAAGTAATTATTTCCCACAGAAGCAGGCACGTGAAGGGTTTTGGGGTGTTTTGGGAAGGGGGCTGGGGGAAAACAAATCAGTAAACTCACCTATGCTCTTTCTTGACATACAAACCAGTTTTCTGATCAATCACATGAATCTTGACCATGGGATGCGAAACCATGAGATCAGTTTTAAGTCTATCAGTTCGATGGATGTAAACCCCTAACACAAGGCTGTCATCAAAAGCAAGTTTGGATTGAGTACAAACTTCTGGACTGTTCATTTCCTGTACATTTTCTGCAGCAATTTCTGTATTTTCTTCTAATGCTAGAAGCAAAGAAACAAAGAAACAAAAAGATCTTCAAACAGAGATTAATGACAAATTATAAGGATTAAAAATCTATCACATTTTCACAGCAAACTTTATATTAAGCTAATTATATTTAGTTCTGTTCTTTATGCAATAGAGTATTAAAATAAAGTCAGTGGATTTACAGCATTATACATGTTTGTCTATATGCATATATATTTTAATACAAGCATTCTCTACCAGTGTTTTTATTTGGTAATAAATTACTGAACCACAACTCTTGTTCTTGATTTGCATAGGCTCTTCCCTCAGACTTCAATATACAAGTAATTATCCACAGTAATAAACTACAGTATGTATGCCCGTTGTCTTTTATGATTTCAATAGCTAAACAATATGTTGTTGAATGGTTATATAATGTGATTAAAAATACCTTACTATCCAAATTGCAAGAACAGCACAAGATCATTTAGCACAATTAGCTGAATCCCCTAGACTATAATAGGCACTTATGGCTTTTAATTTGGTGCACCCATTTAATTCTCCATGAATTCAACCCAAAACTAGGAAACAGAAAATATGCCATATTGCCTCCTTAGCTATTTTATAGTATTATAATGGCACAGGAGCAGCACTACAGTTAAGGCTGCATCACATCATTTGTTTAAAGGTTGACCTTTCTAAGTCAGGGTGGGCAAACTTTTTGGCCTGAGGGCCACATTGGGGTTGCAAAACTGTATGGAGGGCCTGGTAAGGAAGGCTGTCCCTCCCCAAACAGCCTGGCCCCCGCCCCTTCAAAGTTCCCACCCCCTGACTACCTGCCCTCAGAATTCCCCACCCATCCAACCCCCCCTGCTCCCTGTCCCCTGACTGCCTCCTCCCGGGACACCCATCCCTAACCGCCCCCCAGGACCCCACCCCCAGTCAACTCCCGCTGCTCCCTGTCCCCTGACTGCCCCGACCCCTATCCACACCCCCACCCTCTGACAGGCTCCCCCAGGACTCCCACACCTATCCAACCCCCCCTGTTCCCCATCCCGACCACCTGATCAGAACCTCCACCCCATCCAACTGCTCCCTGTCCCCTGACTGCCCCCCACAACCTCCTGCCCCTTATCCAGCCCCCCCACTCCTCTTATGATGCCACTCAGAGCGGCAGAAGCTCGCAGCCAGACACCCTGCCCATGCGGCGGCATCACTACAGGGGGACAGGACAGCAGGGGAGGGGCCGGGGGCTAGCCTTCCCAGACGGGAGCTCAGGGGCCGGGCAGGATGGTCCCGCGGGCCGGATGTGGCCCGCGGGCCGTAGTTTGCCCACCTCTGTTCTAAGTCCTCTAGAGCAGCGGTTCCCAAACTGTGGGTCAGGATCCCAAAGTGGGTCTCAATCCTGTTTTAATGGGGTCACGAGGACTGGCTTAGACTTGCTGGGGTCTGAGGCCAAACTTGGAGCCCAAGGCCTTCAGCCCTGGGAGACAGAGCTCTGGTTACAGGCCCCCTGCCTGGGGCTGAAACCCTTGGGCTTTGGCTTTGGCCCCCCTGCCCAGGGCGGTAGGGGTTGGCACCCCCTACCACAGGGCAGCAGGGCTTGGGGGGGAGGAGGGAGGCGCGCAGGCTTCAGTCCCCTCCTCCTGGGGCCATGTAGTTAATTTTTGTTGTCAGGAGGGGGTCACGGTGCAAATAAGTTTGAGAACCCCTGCTCTAGAGTGAACATGCTTAGTCAGATTTCTTTGAAATTTGGTGTGCCTCATGTGAGTGCATGGTAGGGTTAGTGACCCAAATTTGGGGTCATTTGAGACAGGGGTTCTGGAGATATATGCTCCGGGGAAAATAGAAACTTTTTAAAAAATGGCTAAGTGGGTATTTCTTTTGCCCAGAGCTAGAGATTAAACTATTGATGTCATGAAGAGCAAAATGGTCTCAATCTGTCAAGTTTTACCCAAGGCAGTGCACGGCACCCACTAAATCTTTGGGGGACCCAAACTGAGAACAGCATTTAAGAAAATGTACATTTTTTACACTGCGCATGCACCAATACAGAAAAACGGTTAGAGGTTTTCCAGTCCCACCATTTTACATGCTTTGAAGCTCGATTCTTGTAAATGGTCTAACATCTGAACAGCTAATCAGATTATTTTTAAATTTATTATGCCTCACAAGGTGGGAGACCACATTTGGGGTCATTTGACAGAGGGGCTCCTGAGTTACAGGCCCTCCCAAGAAACTGGTTTCCTTTTGATGCCTTGTACTGTTAAACTGAGAGACAATTATGACTGGATGAACCACAGACCTCACTGAGACCCATGGCTGTGAACTCACAATTCAGTTTAACATAACTGAGGATAAATCAATCACAAACCCCTACCTAAGACAAAAGGAGTTTTAGACTGAGGGGCTGGAGGTTGCTACAATTTGTGAGTCATGGTGTCAAAATTATTTTGGGGGAATGTAAAGTCTATGGGGTGGGAAGAGAGTAGATGTGTGAATGCTTCCTGGGAGGGCAGGGGAGGGGCATTAGGGGATGGAGGAGTGGGGGACTGGGGGAGAGATTTGGAGATTTGGTTTAGGACTGTAGTGAGGGAAAAGGGGTCATGGTGATGGATGGTAGGGGAGGCAAGAGAGGCTGGGGGATCAGGTAAAGGAGGCATGGAAACCCCCCAGCTCTGTCAGTGTACCCCAACCTCCCCAATAGCCTCAGCTCTGTCAGTGCAGCCCAAACCTCTGGAACTCAACCCCTCCGCATCCCTCTGCTCTGCCAGTGCACCCAAATCCTCTTCCACCTCCCAGTTCTGCCAGTTACACCAACCTTCCTGCACTCCAATCTGCCTATATCTCACCACTGTCAGTGCACCCCAACCTCCCTGAACCCACCAGTTCTGCCAGTGCACCCCAATCCCCCTGCATCCCAACACTATTCCACTGTAACACAGTTGTCCTTCACTCCAAGCACGGAATGTGAGTCAAGTTATAGGAGGGAGAAAATAACAGCAACAGAAACATTTGTAAACCAGGGAGTGAAGACATCAGGGAGATGCATTGCAGTGGGGAGGCCTAAGTACAACGGTGGAGGGGGGGATGCAGTGAATGGGTCAGTGACATGGTTTAGATAGAATCCTGTGGGTGAGAACGAATGAAGGTGAAGAGCTTGTACATTTCAGAAACTGTAGGGGTTGCAGAGTAAAGATGTGTGTGTTAATGGGAGGTAATGGGTATTACTGAAAGAGGGCAGAGTTAAGATTGCATGGGCAACCGTAACTGTGCAATTCCTGGTTTTCAGAAATTGGAGTTTTGCTTAACACAACACTCTGCAACAAGATGACATACCACCAACCAACATTAACTCTGAGTTAACAGTTTTTTGCTACTGAATATTTTTATAATATTCTAAGCCACCTTTGTCTCATTGATAGGAACAAGCAACAGCAAAGGAACTTAGCAGCAGCAAAGTCTTCCGATATGAAAAACTTTGTCTATAATATTTTGATTGCACAAACCTTTTGGGGATTTCTTTTTTGCTTTCTTTATTTTAGGTTTCAGTTTTTCCACATCTTCCTCCTCCTTGTGTTCCTCTGTGTTCATTTCATCTTTAAAATATGATGCAAGCAGTCTTCCTGATGACTTCTTTTTTCTGGTATTATTTTCCAGTGGGTTATGCTGTAGTTCAGCAAGGGACATCGCACTGTAATGCAACACACATCACTGTCAGCAAGTACGTACTATTTCTGTTGTTAATCCACTAAAAAGACTTGACTTCTGAAACAACCTCTTCCTGTTTCTCAAATTCATTAGCTCTCCATCTTCAAAATCCCATCAAAAATATAATTTGTCTTGTTTAGCTATTACAGTGATAATGGTGGCACACATTCTTGAATGGTCTATCCTTAATTTCTCTCTCCATTTTATTATCCTAAGTCTTACCTTCTAAAATATTTTCACGTGGGGATTTGCATAAGTAGTCTGGTGACATACATTTAAACAAGATCTTTGCAGGATCAGATACACAGTTCACATGAAATAAAATATAATAAAGAATGATGCATTCTGTTAGCTGAGTGTATAAGTAGTTTTGACTTGAGACAATATTTTATTAATGCCTGATTTTAATCAAGGTTGAGCCAAAGGCCACACAGTCAAGGAGTGGAGTCCACAGTGAATAACTGGCAGGTTAAATGTAGTATTGCAACATTAAAAAAAATTCATTCAATTTTGTAAGTTCTTACAAATTAGTATGGATCTTGGCACCATTTTTAGATCATGCAGTAGAAGGGTTTTTTGTGTATATGGGGGAAGAGGTTCCCTCCCCCCAACATATAATCATCTGGCTAGTTCACAGTTAAAAAAAAATTCTTGCAGCTCTATCACAGGATTCTTTCCCCATCTTAAAAATCAAACATTTTGTTTAAGATGTATACATGCACTGATTACAATTTACCACTATACCTTGTTTCAGCTTCAGATACAAATGGCACTTCTTTCTTCTTTTTGCCCACTTCATTGTTCAATACAACTTTTTGGCTTTGAACACTGGAGGTGAATTCAGACATCTGTTCTTTAAGTTTTTTTCTTATTTTCTCCTTAATTATATTTGCCTCATCCTCAGCCACTTGCAGCTGATAGGCTTGAATTAGCTGTTCTTCCTCTTCTAATTCAGTAACATCTCTCGCTTCATGCAAGGTACTTTTTATCTTGTTGTTACCTTTTTGACGAGATGCATCTGTTTGTGATTTACTTTTTGTTTTTTTCTTTGGCAAATCAGTAATCTGTTTTTCAAAACTCTCCAATTTAGTTTCAGATACCTTTTCCTCCTCATTAAATTGTTCTTGTAACACTGCTTTCTTTTTCTTCTTGTTAGACTTTGGTTGCTTGTTTTCTTCTCCACTAATATCATCATTGTTTATTTTTTCTGCAACTGAGGCTTTGTCTCTTAGTTTGTTTTTTGTAAACCGGGGGCTCTTTTCCTCAGGATTATAAGTGTTGTTTATAATTACCTCATCATTTCCACTTTCTTTAGCTAGATCAAGATTATTTCTAAAGGTGTCAAGCTAGAAATAAAAACAGAGAACATAATTTTAAGTATATATCATATGTAATGTTACAATAATAAAAACAGTTTAGTACATTATCAGTTTACACTATATGGTGAAATATAAAAATGATATTCGTCATCTAATCATTGTCTTGTTTAAATCTAACAAGTACCAGATGGAACAGATCATTCATGTTTAAAATAAGTGTTTGTATTTGGACAGCTTGAAATCTGTACTTCCAACATTCTTTTTAAAACAAGCACCATACGTATATATTCACCACACAGTAAAATTCAAAACTACCTCAATGAACAGGACTACTCCATAATGATATGTCAATGTAATACATTTTGAAAGATCTGCAGAAATGAAATGCAGAACCAAAACATGTCTCAAACGAATATAAATATTAATGTTAGAGGTGCCAATGCCTGTCTGGATTCCTTTTTACCATGAGCAGTGTGCCAAAGTTTGGCAATGAAAATCACTTCCGAAAAGACAGACTTGATAAAATTTAACAACTGACAACTCTTAAGATGACAGCTCTTATAAAACTATGGAAAAAATTCTATTAATAAACAACTCTTATTAAAGGGACAGAGTCAACCTGAAATCTAGTCCACTTTCAAAAACGTAGTTAAAAGTATTTTCAGATAATACTCACGCCCTTTGAATCCCTCTGTCAATTTTTGTGGTTTTGCAAAAAACTTTTAAGGTTTCACTTCCTTTATGGATGAATGAAAAACCCACACAGACAACACAGGAAACTTAATACAGGCCTGATACTGCACTGAGCTCCACATAGGTACATCCCTGAGCTTGTGTGGGGCTCCTATTAAGTCAGTTGGGCTCCAAGTGGGTTCAGGGGGTTGCCAAAGTGAAGCTCATTGCAGGATTGAGGTGTTACTAACTACACAGGGGGAAATAGTAGAACTAACTATACAGAAAGAGATTTCAGATGCGCACACACAAAAAAACCAATAACTAAAATATATATTTTCCCCTCTGATTTCTTCCAGTACAAATATTTTATTTCGGTGCTTTTCAACCTTTTCCTTGCCGTTACCCTATTTTTCAATAGCAAGACAATCCTGGGACTCCCTTCCTATCTAGCTAGGAAGGGCACAGTGGCGAAAGCGCCCTTGACACCTTTTCACAAACCCCAGGTTGAGAACCCCTATCACAGGTGTTACTTGTAAGAATAGCAGATCAAAAAAAAAATCGAAGACAAACCAATTTTAGATTGATAGGGTTCCTTTAAGTAATTTTTTTTAAATACCTAAGGACATTATATAAGAACATGACATTTAAATATTCATCTGGTCTGTCTACATAATGCCACTAAATGTCATCCTGAGGGGTTGTTAAAGGGGTTGGAGAAGGAGGGAAGGAAGCAGGAAGGCCCAACCCTAGACAGGGGCAAAGCATGTAGCTACAAAGGCAAACACACTTTTAGAATCTCTGATTTCTAGAAATCCATCTCTGAAGAGTGAGAGAAGGATACGGTTGACCTTTCATGTGGCTAACCAAGAAAAGTTGATTACTCCCTATCTGCCAGCCATCTGCCTCCATCACAAGTTTCACCTCAGCTATCTTAGCTGCCAAACCTTCCCCTCTACCCTTGAGATGAGGAGGAAGTCTGTTTTGGCCATGACTGACATTGGGGGGGAGGGAGGGAAGAGAGATTACAAAAAGAGGTAGAAAAGGCATTGGAGATGTTAAAAAAAGAAGGGCGGGGTTGAGAGACAGAGAGAGAGAGAGAGAATTATTATTCATACTAGAAAAATAAATTGGAGGGATAAACAGAGAGTGGGAGAAAAAATGCACCAACATAGAGTCAACATAAAGAAAAAGGGAGTGAAGGAAAGGAAAGAGAAGTATAAACCCAGACATAGTAATGTAAAAAACGCATGCTAAAATATTAAATTAAGCAATTCTATTAAAAGTGGGAGGTAAATGAATGGAAGGATAGAGAATGGGACTGCATGCAATGATGTTCATCTAGGGTAGCAAAAAACCTAAGGCCAGCCCTGTATTCACACATCTTGTCAGCAGGTGTCTGTATTTTTAGTTACATAGAGTACTTAAAACGATGTAGTATTTAATCATGAAAATACTCATCATCATATGAATTTAACCTTTTCCTGCTAGTTAGTCCAATAACATCCTTTCCATACAAAAGCCAACAATCTAAAAGGATGTGGCAGATTATGTACAGGTAACTATAAGAGTGACAGATAAAGGAAAGAAAGGAAAAATATTTTTATAGTGGCTAAAAAAAATGCAGCAAATTACATACAAAACAAAAAAAGGCAAAGCATACAGAAACATCAACTGATTTTGGATGGATTACCCCACCTCCTTATCTGCATTTTTACTGAGCAGGTTTTACCCATGAAGTATAATGGATGAAGTTATTTATCAGACAAATTATTATAGAGAAACAATAGGGACACCATAGTCAAGGTTATGTCACTGTTTTGTCTTTGACAGGATCTTACTCCTTCTCTGTAGCTGAGGAAGCAGTTTTCTTTCAGAAAATAAACTTGGAATTAATCATTTACATGTCTGTGATTTTCTAAAATTATCCTGATATGTAAGAAGTGTTCCATTGAAGAAATCTCAAAAAAAATCACACCTGCGATATTTTGACTGGTGTGTTACATTTTTTGTAAACTTTGTGCAGTTCATCATCTACAGCACCCACGCACACTTATATCCCGAATTTGAACAACAAACCCCTTTGTCCACTTAAATTTAGCCACAACTCTTAGCAAAACAGAAGCTCCTCCTAACTATATCAAACACTGTCCCCGAAAAGCTGGCAAATTATAGGAACATCAACACACTCTATTGGTGGCACAAAAAGCTACCTGTGGCTGGGCTCAGACCGCGCCAGTCTGTACAACCTGAATTCATGTCACTGGTATGTATGCATTATGATACAGACTTTTATTACATGATCACATACTATTCTATTCACAGGATCCCTGCCTCATTCAGTAAAAAGTGCTTTGGGACTGGATCAGTATTATGCAGTGAAGGAAATTGTTGTCTGTAGGACCTCTGCCTCATTTGTTGTAGAAGTTGGAAGGTATGTAATAAAAAGATGGTGTCACGGTTAAGGCACTTAATTGCCACACTGGTTAAATGGATTCTATTTCTGCCTCTGCCACAGAATTCCTGTGTGTTGCTGGGCAAGTCACTTGTGTGTTCCTAATTTTCTCAGTGACCAACTTTAGACATCTGGGCCCTACTCTGAAGTCAATGCAAGCCGTACTCTAAACTGATAAAGTGCTATAAAATGCTAAATACTCTGAAAAAAAATCAGTCCTTAGGCCTTATTGGTAGATGCATTCCAGTTGGTCACCCAAAATTAGTGGACACTTCTGATCTTAATCTCTCTGTGCTCTGCTCCCCATCTGTAAAATGGGGATGATAACTTACCTCAGAGGGGTATTTTGAAAATAAATAAATTAATTAATATTTGTGAAGCACTCTGATTCCATGGTGATAAGCACCAAAAAAGGCCCACGAGGAAATTAATAATTTTGTATTCAGAACAGGCTCTGAAAGGTATGCAATAAGGTCTGAGGCCACACACTGAGTGCTGAGAATAAAATGAAATATTGACCAGCTACCAACTGAGTGAGTACCATCCATGCTGTGCACTGAATGAAGCAGGGGTCCTGTGAAAAATATAATATGTGATCATGTAATTAAAGATGGTATCATAATGCATTCGTACCAGTGGCATATATTAAGGTTGTACAGGCTGGAGCTGTCTAAGGAACTAAGGTCTGAGCCCTGCCACGGGCAGCTTTTTGTGCCACCAATAGAGCGTGTTGATGTTCCTGTAATTTGCCAGCTTTTACTGGCTGGACGGGTTACTCAGCAACGGAGAGATAAATGAGAGCAGTGGTTGGTGGAATCCAAGTCAAATGAGTGGCCAGTTGAGTGAGTGGGAGTGTTGATCAGGGTTGCAAATTGAATGAAGAGGTGATGGCGAGTGGTTTTCAACCTGTAGTCTGTGGACCCCTGGGGATCCGCAGACTATGTTTAAGGAGTCCATGAAAGGTTGTCATTACCATAAAACAGTGTTTTTCACCCTGGCGGTCCACAGACTAGGTCTAAGATTTCTGTTCAAAAATTTTTTAGGGGTCTGCAAATGAAAAAAGGTTGAAAACCACTGAGCTAAGGGGTCAGATGGACCATCACCATGGAAGCTGAAGAAAACAGGGGGCGGATAGCTCAATGGTTTGAGCATTGGCCTTTTAAACCCAGGGTTGTGAGCTCAATCCTTGAGGGGGCCATTTAGGGAACTGGAGTAAAAGTCTGTCTGGGGATTGGTCCTGCTTTGAGCAGGGGGGCGTGGACTAGATGATTTCTTGAAGTCCCTTCCAAACCTAATGTTCTATGATTCTATGAACACAAATGATTGTGAGAAGAGGAAAAGAGCGCCATGAATCAAAATCAAGAGAGGAAGGCTGTGGGGAAAGAGTTGGGTGGATGTTAGATGACAACAACCTGGAGGGTGGGAGGAGAGAAGAGTCATATTCAGTGCTGTTCAGAAGCAGAGAAATGAGTGGGAAAGAGGAGAGGGAGTTCTAGTTTGATGTCATTTTGTTTGCATATTCTTATCTTCATGATATTAGCTTTGGAAAATTTAATGAAGTTGACATTTACTTCTGTTACCAACTAGACAACTGATAAGTATCTGTAAAATTCACAGACATGAGGTATTTGCTCTAAGAGCTAACTACTAGTATTACTGTGGGAATGATCCTGCAAGCCCTTCACACGACACTCTCACTGAAGTTAATGTGAATTTGGAAAGCTTGAAGGATGGCCTCCAAAATTCTACTGAAAAACGTGGTGATCAGAATAGGTTGACACAATTTTAACTATAGGCATGCCAGGAGGCACCATTTAACATTAACCTTGAATTACATTACTAGTATATCAAGGTCACAGTAAGTTGTAAACTACTGGGGTTTATGCTTATTGTTCAGCATGGACATCAATAATGAATAAAAGTCATACATTAAAAACGAAAGGTATCTATTATGAAGCAAACACTATGTTTTCTTTTCATAGTACTTGCTGAAGCTTACAGCATCTCCTTTTTGTGGGGAGGGATAAAGTATACTTCCTTTGCTGAGAGAGATGAGATTTTTTCCACCAAAGCAAGCAGAATCACTGTTCTCAGATTATCAAACTCACCACAATATTCTCATGAGAGTGAAATTTTTGCTTCTTTGATTTCTTTTTTTCTGCTAGCCCAGAATGACTCCTGAATATTTCCTCAAAGCGAACCTTGGTTTTTGCCTTTGCCTCACTCTCCGCTGGAAAAAAAGTTAAAATAAGATTAATTGGCTCAAATAATTAGGTTAATTACAACAGCACCTGATTACACTTTTAGGCGCAGAGGGCAGCATTTTCACCATAGATGAATTACACTAATCAAGACTTTTATTTTACCTCGTGAAACTGAGAAAAAGTTCCCATTTACAATGGCAACCAGATGAAGATAACTCAAAGTAGCAATATATGTAGAATCATTGTACATGATAAGACAATTCTCAAATACATTGCTTCACATATTAAGTATCAATTTTATAAACCCTACAAATGTTAAATAAAAAAAGTTCATAAAACAAAACATAACATAAAAACAGCTGTGAGCACTGACCAAGAATTAATCCAAGGGATCACTAAAGATCAATTGGTGGAAGTAACTTAACATTAATACCCAATTCTAAGAATAAAATGCATTTTGGAAATTAAAAATGTAGAAGTTCTTACCTGGTGGCATTTTCAGTCCTATATTAAGAATGGTTCAATACACTACACCTTTCTTTCTCAAAGTTCAGCATTCTGCAAAACACACATCAACACTCAGAATATTTTAATCAACAAAACTAAGTTACAGAATTTATACTATAAATTTATGCTGGCCTGAATGGACTGGGTTAGTAATACTGAGACTAAAAAAAACAAAACACTGATCTGAATAAATCTAAAATTCAATTCAATTTATATGGAACAATGCAAGAAATACTCCTCACCATATAAACAGAGTGAATGAAATAGACTCCATTTCCCTTTAATTTATGGCATGCTCTAAAGAGAGATTTTACAGATTCACTCTTTAAAAAAAACAACAATTAAGAGTCAATCCTGCACACCCTCCTCACTCAGATGATTCTCCAAATGAAGCCAACATTAGCTTTGGTGGAATAAAGATCATAGGACTGGGTCCTAAATTCCTTTTTACAAAATGTGAGGTATATTAGTTCTAAAAGAAACTTGAGTGGATATGCCAAGCATAATTCTAGCAATTACTGAACTGTCATAATGTACTAAATAGGGCTGGGTGAAATTTATTGGCCAACCACCTCCCACCCCCAGGCACGCGCGCACACACACACACGGCAAATTAAGCAACACTAAAACACATTTTTTTATTGAAACAATTATAAAAAAGTCTGAAAAATATCAAAGCATTTTGTTTTGACATTTTCTAAATAAAGTGTTTTGATTTTTCAGTTTGAAACAACTTTTCATTTCAATATTATTTTTATTAATAAAAAATAAATTAATTAAAATGCTCATCACACCGAAATGAAATTTGACTTTTTGATATGCACACAAAAAAATTTAAGGGTTTTTTTTAAATTATTTTATTTTTCAGAACTGCCAATGAACCAAATTTCCAATATTTGCACAGCTCTAGAAACCAAAAAGAGAGAAACAGAAGCTACGCATTAACATCTAGTTATACCAATTCTACCTCTTGCTGATAGGCAGTCTTTTGAGGTGGAACCCTACCAACTTCTTTACATTCTGAAAGCTGTTTGAAATTGGCAGGGATGACCAGAAGTGGCTTTACATGGGAGGGCTGTGGGGAGCATCTTTTGTTGTAAAAAACATGTAGCTTGTCATTTCTCAGCTAGTAACAATATTTTCCCCCCAACAGAAATCATTTATTTCTAGCTCAGAAACAAAACTACTTTAATGTCATTGTTAAACTATGCATTCCTATGGTCATAACACTTAAAAGAAATGAAAACAAGAGAAAATGTTTTTTTAAATAATCATGTCTTAGGGGTTTTTTTTAGTTACATAAAATCAATTTTAATATTACTAAAGTTAGATTTATTGTCACTATAAAGTATGTGTCTCAACAGGATACTGCTGCTTTGCAAACAATTCAAATTCAGACTCAGACAGAAATAGAAAACATTTATTACTTTAAGATAGAAACCAAAACACTGTTAAACTATAAACTCCAGCATATTATCAATTACTTTTGTCTTTTGGAGAGTAGGGAAGGATACTTTTTGTGATTGATTTTATCCTCTCAAGAGACCGAACACTAAGAAAGTGGGTACTCTCAACTTTATAAAAAGGAACAACTGAAGTAACATACAGGACCAAATACAATAAAATATGCATAGCGCATACCTGCTTCGTATCTGTCTAATGGCTGAAATACCTTCATTAGTATCCAAAAATACACAAGAAAAAAAGGGCCACTAGCAAATTAATTTTGTCCACAGCTGATCATCTTCTCTACAGGCTAGGCTAGTATTCTGACTGCCACTTTTTTGTTTTGAGTGCTATAAATTGCACAGATCCACCAGGCTTGACTGAAGACCACACATCTCTCTACACACCACTCTTCTCCTGCTAAATAAATTATCCCTTTCATGACAACAAAATTAAAACCCATAATATTTATAGTTATTTTTATCCACTGTAGTCTGAAGGAAGAATTACATAACATTTGACACAGAGCCTTTAATCAACCCGGTATCAGAAGTCTAAATATAGCCCATTAATCAACATGGATAAGAACAAGGATGTTCACCCTGTATAATCTCATTTTAAAATAGGAGAGATTTAATCTTGTGTTAAAGTTCAGCAATCAGAAAATCCCAAAATGACTAAAGCTAGAGTTTTCCTTAATCTATTATTTTTCTAGCACATAGATTAATAAAGCAGTTTTCCACCAACAATGACAACACCACATAATACAGTACAGTATTATATTCCAGACACCAGGATATAATCAGGGAAACAGAAGTCTGTAGCCAGAGATTTTTAAAATGTCCTGTATTTCTTCCTGCAGATTTTCTCATTTAAACTATCATTTTTAAACTACATTTTTCAAATTCATCAGGTAGCAAAAATAATCTTCAGAATGGCAACTAATGTACTGTCCATCACTGTCTTTTGTGTCTATAAACAGATAGTGTAGTATTGCTGCTTCAGTATTTCATACTTCTGTAACA